TGCCATTTACATTAATGAAATAAATTAATAACATTCTGAGAGATCTTTTTAAAAAGGATCTCTCCAATTTTCAAAGTATAATTGCAAGCTTCTTTGATGTTTCTTTGCAATTGAGTCGATTTCTGTATTCTTTTTTTGACTGTAGGAAAATTTGATTTTTGAGATAGTCAAAGTTATGGGTAACATTTGGCCATGGGATGCATTAGAAATGGGAGGAAGAAATTAAAGATGACTCAGAGATTTCTGGAATACATACTTGTAAAGGGGTATCAAGCATGACAAAAAAAGAGGGTTGAGGGAGAGGAATGAAGACTGGAGGGAACAGTCTGAAGGGCCCTTTGTGATGATCTCCCAGCACCTGCCAAGACCCTACCTCTGTTGGGGGAATGTAGATTGGTGAAAAGCGTTATCAAAACCTCCCGGCTACTAACCCAAAGCATCCTCTTCTCTTTGTGCCAAATAGAAAGATGCTGAGGCTAGTCATAGATCTGGACAAGAGAGGATGGAGCAGGCTTAGCTTGATGCACTGCTGCATTTGTGTGATTTCAATTCAGAGCAAAGGAGCAAAAAAAAAAAAAAAAAACATGTCTTAGCTATATTTTCAAGTCCAAATTTGCCTGCAATAATGCTAAGGTAATTTTAATATTAGACACTGGTGTGTGATCCTTAATTGAATCAGGATCCAGAAGGAAGTGTATCAAGTTGTTATAATAACTATTATGACTGCTACTGTCTTGTTGGGTGTCATTGGGTGTTAACCCCACCTTGTTTGAAAGCCCACTCAGAAAACTACGCTGAAAATAAATAACTCATGCCAGTTGAAAACATAAATTTGAGAATGGAGAAGGTTTACATTAACTTGGGATGAGTGAACCGAGAAAGTGCAGCCTTGTCTGGCCTCCTCAGAAGGCTTTTATTGATTTCTAACAAAGGTGCATCTACAAAATGTGAAAGTGTTAAAAGATAGGATTGAAAGAATCCCAAATTCTCAGAAAGATTGGATAGAGAGAGAGAGGCTGGGTAAATGGGAGGGGGTTGCAAACAGAACAGACAGCTGATAGTGTATTTAGGAAGAGGGAGGCAGAAACTCTGTTCTATTTGGGAAAGCAAACCAGGTTTCCTAATCCAACTACATATCAAAAATTCAGAGAGCTTAATCCCTCCCACCAGTTGACTCTCCAACACCTAGGCCTAGTCCAGCCTGAATGGGCACTTCTCGGCTCTTTTCATCTTTAGTAGAGGTTTTGAAGAGCCCCCAGGGATTGCCTACCTGCGCTTTCCTCTGGATACCCCAGGATTGAGGTACCCCACTGAGAAGTTTACCTGTCTACCTCCCACACTGCCTCCACTGCAACCCTTATTGACTACTGTCTGGATCAGAGCTGCAGCATAAAACAAAATTCTACTCACATGGTTTAGCTGTGGGGATCCAGTGAAAAGATAGGGGATACAGGCCTGGTTAAAGAAATCGGCCCAGGAAGCTGACACATGGAGGCTGACTGTAGAAAATTGTTTCCACCCTTAGGCCTTAAGGACCACAGCTCAGTTAGAGCTGGAACCAGGAAAAAAATATCTCTTTTCACTTTTCTCCCCAATGCACATTCCAGGATTTCTCCTTGGAGGGAGGCAGGCACTCTAGCACACATATCTAGCACATATTCCTGTTGTATTGAAGGTGGGAAGGTATGAAAAAGAAACCGAGTTACTGCTCTCTCCTTCTCAGTTTTAATTTCATGTGCAAAGTCAGTCTGGAAACCAGACACCAAAAAGCTGTGTTGATGTAGTCCACAGGGGTTAAACTCCAGGTGGGCAATGCAAAGCAGAAAAGAAAAGACTATAGCTCTGGGCAGGAGTGGTAAACAGTTAACGACCAGCACACCAGTATTATCTGAACATCCACAATGTGTCTTATCATCCTTATTAAAAAGATAAAGTTGTAAGGCTCAAAATCGGTAAATAACTGGTTCAAGTTCAGCAAAAGTTAATTGATCTTCCAATACTTTTCTAGACTCTTAAAACTTTCTGTATCATCTACTGTTCTATCTCATAGACTGCAAGGAAGAGAACTTGATGTTTTCCCAAGATGAAATATTATTAAGTCATTCAAGACTAAAGTAAAACAAACAAAGATTCCCATTACTTCATCACTCTCAGGAGATTCAACTCCCTGGGTTTCTCAACTATCACCAGGGATAGTCAGCAAAATGGATGCTCCTCAATGAGCTTAGGATTTTCAGAGGAATGGAAAACTAATGGCTATTCATAATTTGAATGAATTTTTGCTGGAAATAGTTGAACCGTAGGGATTTCATCCTGAAGTGACAGTTCCCTTATAAGCTCCTCAGGTTTGGCCTCTCCATTCTGTCATCGTAAAATCCCTCTTCTTACTCAGGTAGGATTACACTATAAAATAATATTTTGGAATATAGAAATAAATATTTTAATCAATAAAAATAAGTTGAGCTGAAATACGTTCTAGTGAATTAGCAAATGTCTTCATGAAAATGCTACTATTCCCACAACAGGTGTTTACAGAATGATGTTTACAGAGGGTTTACATAATGGAATGTGGACTCCACTGAAGAGAATGTTAACTTCATCTTTACGTACTGAGAAAGCACCAGTCTGGGCTTCCTGAGTCTACAACCAGGTTAGGTAACATCCTTGTCCCTAAAGAAGCTCATGCTTTGATGTTGAGTCTCATCCTAGATCAGACCTGAATCATCCATCAAATCACACTAGTAGTCACAACTTAGGAAGTGCTTACTGCACAGCAGACATATTCTTAAAATGTCCTCTAAATTAATTCTCCTGTTATTAACCAAATTGTATGAAAGAGAAGAGTAAGACACACAGAGAGCAATCACTTGCCACAGACCACACAGTAGGAAACCAGAGGAACCTGGATTTACATCCAGAGAGAGTGACTGCAAACTCTCAGTCACTATAATACTCTGCTGAGGCTCAGGAATCGACCTTGGTTACTTTGGCTTTGTGAAGAAAAAAAGGAGTGGTATTGCATAATCTTTCTGGTTCCTTTTAAGTAAGTGCTACTTTTTGTATCTTGTAATGTCCTGTACCCCCTTCATGAAGAATGGGACACTTTGGGGCTCACCATCTATATTAATTATTTAAAGTTAATGAAAAATATATGTTATGAAAGAATGTTTTCTAAATTTGTCTTTCTACTTTAAATTGAACCATGACTACGTGTTAAGGAGGCTCCACCCTTGTTTAAGCCAAAGACTGACCTGCAGAACTCTTTGGGAGACTGAAGAGTGGCAGCGTTTAGTCGAGAACATCTCAGGGAAAGACGAATGTCAGGGGGCAAAACCTCACATGTTCCCACAGCCACTTCTCTCCATGTGCAAAGCTTCTCTCTGAGATATCTTTGCTCGAGTCCGAAGGATACTCTGTTCTTTTCTTATAAGTAAGGCGATTGCCCTCAAGTACTCAGTTAAAATTGTCTGGACTGTGTTACCTTTTTTCCCCACAGTAAAATGATGGAGATGTTAGTTATTTTGAATCTTGACAAATATTTCAATAAATAGATGCAAGTGAAAAATACCATTTTAGTGCTAAAATAATATTTTCCTATTTGGAAATTATTATTAAAATAATTGTTAAAATTTAGTAGGATTCTATTAGTTTAAAAAAAGATGAAGACCAAATAATTATGATTCCACTGATTTACTATTACCTTGGTCAGTAAGTCCAAAGTCCTCTGTACAGAATAAGGTAATATAATGGACAATATCTTGAGTGTTGAATCTACTAATTACCTTGAAAAGTGACCTTTTCCCAGTGCCGGTATGGTAGTTAATAAAAAAGCTATTGACATATTATCAGTATAGCACTGTCAAATCTGGACGTGTGTCATCAAACAAAGATGCCAATATTTCCATAATGGTCTTCATGGTTCCATTTATCCTGCCCAAATATTGGGAGATGCACTTCATGATATTGTAAGTATGGTCTCAGATGTACAGTTAAGATTATTATTTTGCCATGATCTGTTACATATTTTAAAGAACTCATATTGAATCCATATTATATTTATCTTAATTTTACAAGTGTTAGAATGAGGCAGAGTTAAAATAAAGTCATTTCTTTTTTTGTCTGAGGATATGAAAACCAATTTTTCATAATTTCTCCCTTTCCCTGAAGTATTTGCATGCACTCCTTTTCCCTTAATTGTCCCCCATAAACATCTATAGCATCACAACATATGTGTGTGTGTACCCCACATAAACATGCACACGGATATTGTCTATGCACTCTGTGTCTGTGTGTACATCTTTCGTATTGAAAATTTTTTAGAGTTATTGTTGTTCTATAACAGCCAACTTTTACCTCAGTTGGTCAAAAATACAGAAAACAATGATCTTGAACTAGGTTTTAAAAGTTAAGTTTAGACTCCCCAATTTGTAGCTGAGCTCCTCACCCAGGCTAAAGTGGGCATAGTGAGCAGTATACTACAGGGTAATGAAACAGCTTCGAAATTATCTTGGGTTGAGAGGGGCAAGTGAAGAGTTCTTTGTTCTATAAAGGTAAGCACCACACAGCAGTTCCACTCCCCTATGTTCACTCAGCTGTGAAAAGTGTAGATGAATTTCAATGCCAGATGCTTTAGATAATACATTCTAAGGTATATTGTAAAGCAAAACGTTACAATTTAAAAAAAAATCAATGTTTACCTTCAGTGTTCAAGAAAGGTCAATGAACACATATGAAGAAGACTTGCAAAAAGATAAAAGATAAGGCTCTTCAAATATGAAAGGACTTGCAGAAAATCATTTGAAATATAATTGCTTTTGCGTGTGAGGAGCTCTATATTAACTTAGATGTTTAAAGCATCAATCATATGCTCACTAGGCTGTTTATTTACAAGTTTTAGAGAAGAGGAAGAAATATTAGATGGGGGCAATGAATAGATGACAAAAGCCACATGTATTTTTATTTCCATTTCTTTAGATCTCATTAGAAGCCAAGCAAACACAATGTTAAAGAAAAACTATACAATGGTGACTGAGTTTATTCTCCTGGGACTGACAGACCGAGCTGAGTTGCAACCTGTCCTCTTTGTGGTGTTCTTAGTCATCTATCTTGTCACAGTCAGTGGCAATGTGAGCATGATTTTGTTAATCAGAAGTGACTCGAAACTTCACACTCCAATGTACTTCTTCCTGAGTCACCTCTCCTTTGTCGATCTGTGTTATGCCACCAACATCACTCCTCAGATGCTGGTTAATTTCTTATCCAAGAGAAAGACGATTTCCTTCATTGGTTGTGCTATACAATTTCACTTTTTCATTGCCCTGGTGATCACAGAATATTATATGCTCACAGCAATGGCTTATGACCGCTACATGGCCATCTGCAAGCCTTTGCTATATGGTAGCAAAATGTCCAGATGTGTCTGCCTCTCTTTTGTTGTTGCTGCTTATATTTATGGCTTTGTGAATGGTCTGGCACAAACCATCCTGATGCTCCGTCTGTCCTTCTGTGGACCCAATGAGATTAACCACTTTTACTGTGCAGACCCACCTCTCATGGTCCTCGCCTGCTCAGACACCTATGTCAAAGAGACCGCCATGTTTGTGGTGGCTGGTTCCAACCTCACCTGCTCTCTCACCATCATCCTCATCTCCTACATCTTCATCTTCACAGCCATCTTGTGCATCCGCTCTGCTGAGGGCAGGAGCAAGGCCTTCTCCACTTGTGGCTCCCATCTGACAGCTGTCACCATCTTTTATGGGACACTGTTCTGCATGCACTTGAGGCCCCCTTCTGAGGCATCTGTTCAACAGGGAAAAATTATAGCTGTTTTTTATATCTTTGTGAGTCCTATGTTAAACCCATTGATCTACAGTCTAAGAAACAAAGATGTTAAAAGAGCAATAAGCAAACTTATCCAAAAGAAACTGTTTATTAAATGACATAGATGTTTTGGTCACAGGTCACATAAAATATCCTCATTACCTGACTAAGTAATGAACATTTCAAGTTAACAAATCACTGTTATTGAGTAATTCTATCTTTCATAATTTGTGCATATGATTAGAATTATGTGTCAAATTATTAGCTAGAGTTTACAGTGCTATCTCAATAAATTTGAAAAAAAGAAAGCATAGATAGTCAAAGACAAGACCACAAGGAATAGTTAGTGCTCTGTAAAATCAATACAAAACAGATGAGCCTGGGGCGGCGCCTGTGGCTCAAGGAGTAGGGCAGTGGCCCCCAGATGTGGCGGGTTCAAGCCTGGTCCTGGCCAAAACTGCAAAAAACAAACAAGCAAACAAACCAAAAAACAGATGAGCCTATCCATAGTACTCCTGCTGATGCAAACTTTTAAAAGATATATTAAATGTCATAGAGATGATAATTCATTCAATTTTTATAGTGCTTAATAACTTCTAAACTATTTTCTAGAAATTCATCAACCATAATAGGTGAGGATTCTTTTTCTTTTTTCCTTTTACAAATTGCATAAAAATGAGGATCATGTGAGTATGGCTTTTACTATTACTCTAAGATATATCATCAGAATGATATTTTTGATCCAATAAAATTCTCTTTCATAAAGCTTTTGATAGCAATCAAATTTCCTGGAGGATTATTCAGTTTTTTGCTTGTTTTACCAGTAAAAATTCCCATCAAGATATGGCATCTCTCTCCACTATTTTATTATTATATTGTTCCCTGTTCTCTTTAAGTAGATTTGATGTTTTATCCATATGTGTATGTGTGTGTACATATATATATATATCCTTGTTTATGGGGGGTGTGTGTGTGTATGTATAATTGATCATAAGATAACATTTTCATTTGTTTATTGCTTATTTAAATTTTTTTCAGAGGAGTCCAGGTCCTATACTTTGTCTATTTTTTAAATTGTGGTGTTTATATTTTTTCTTATTCATTTTAGACTTTTTTCTTAAAGATATAAACCTGTTTCTTGTTATATATATGAACATATAAATATAAATATGTGTATATTACATTTTACCTCTTTTGATTATGTCATTGAAATGTTCAAATTTTATCTTAAAATATTGTAAAATTATTTATATTGCTTTATATGTTTCTTTGGTTTTTTGTTAGTTTTTATTGATGCACAGAGGCACATATTTTGGAGTATGTATGATAATTTCATATAGTCATACAATCAAATGAAGGTAATTGGGATGTCTGCACTTTAAATTTTTATCTTTTCTTTACAGTAGGAACCTTCAAATTATTTTCCTGTACCTATTTCAAAATGTACTATTGATTAATGTTAATTATATTCTCCCTACTGATCTATCAGACATAAGGTATTCTTTTTTCTGTGTATTTATACTCATTAACCCTCATTAATCCACCTCTTTTCATCCCCTCTCTCCCTGTTAACCACCCATCTCCTGGTTTTCCTGAGATCCACTGTTTTAGCTCTCACATGTAAGTGAGAACTTGTGATAGTTCTTTCTGTGCTTGGTAATTTCTCTCAACATAATGACCTCCAGTTCCATCCACGTTGCTGAGAATGACAGGATTTCATTCCTTGTAATGTCTGAATAATATTCCGTTGTGTACAAGTATATAAACCACATGTTCTTTATCCAGTCATCATTTGATGGACATTTAGGTTGACTCCATATCCTGGTTATTGTGAATGTTGCTGCAATCAATATGAGAATGCAGACTGATTTTTTTCTATTAGAGATATCTTCAGCAGTGGAATTGCAGGATGATATGGTGGTTCTATTTTTAGTTTTCTAAAGAAGCTCTAACTCCACTGTAGTAATTTCCATCCCAAACAACAGTGTAGGCGGGTTCTCCATTCTTCATGTTTCATCAGTATTTATTATTCTCTGCCATCTTGATAACAGCTATTCTAACTGGGAAAAGATAATATTGCTTTGTGGTTCTGATTTGCATTTCTCTGATAACTAGTGATACTAAATTTATTTTTCATGTATATGTCAGTCATTTATATGTCTTCTTTTAACAAAAGTCTACTCAGGCCTTTTGTCCATTTTTAAATTTGTTTATTTTCATGTTTTATTCTTTTATTATTGAGTTGTTTGACCTCTTTATATATTTTAGTTATTAATCCCTTGTCAGATGGTGAGTTTGCAATTATTTTTTTTCCTATTCTGTGGTAGACTCTTCACTTTGTTGGTTGTTACTTTGCTGTGCTGAAGAGTTCTAGTTTGATGAAACCCCATGTGTCTGGTTTTTTTTTTTTTTTTTTCTGTCTATGTGTTTGAGATATTAACCCAAAAAGTCTTTGCCCAGACAAATGTCCTGGAGTATTTCCACAATGTTTTCTCCTAGCAGTTTCATGTCTTAGATGTAAGTCTTTAATCCATTTATATTTGATTGTTGTATGTGGTGAGAGATAAGAGTTTGTATTTCATTCTTCTGTATGTGAATTTCCCAGCACCATTTATTAAAAGACTGCTCTTTCCTATCGTAGGTTTTTGGTATCCTTGTCAAAAATGAACTGATTGTAAATACATGGATTTGTTTCTGAGTACTCTGTTCTGTTCCACTGGTTTATGTATTGTTTTTTATTGCAGTGTTATGCTAATTTGGCTACTATAGCTTTGTAGACTTTAATGTCGAAAAGTGTGATCCTTGAAGCTTGTTCTTTTTACTCAGAATGGCTTTGGTTGTTCTATGTCCTCTGTGGCTTCATAAAAAAATTAAGATTTCTTTTTCTATTTCTGTGGAGAATGTTGCATGAAACCTACTTTTTTATCCTATAGTAGTATCTATAAGAATGAGAAAGCAGGAAAAAAAAAAAAAAAGAAAAAAGGTAACTATACTCTCTCAGTCCTGGACCTACACTTGTGTCTTGATAGCCAACATTGGTAGAGTATGGTTTAACATGCTCTGTGAGCTGTCATCAGGTCTGCATGCTTTGATCATCATTTCCTACCCAGACTGGGCCAGTTCCCAAACTGGTAGATGTGTGCCTTTGACATATGAAGAGTGATTTCAAGAAAAATAAAGCAAGAAATGGAATGAGTGAGTGAAAAACTCCCTGACAATATCAGAGCAGGTCTTAGTAGGACCAATACCTACTCAGTTTGTGAAAGTGCTTTCTGGGTATATGCATCATAAATATGAAAGTCCTGACACATCACCCTCTTTAGTTTGTTAAAGGAATAGTGAGGAGACAAATATATACATGTAGGCACATATAGTGACAATATGATGGAGTCATTGAGGCTAGGGCTGACATGACATAGCTGGTCTGGTTGGTTTGGGTCCTAAGTGATTTGTACCTCATGTCTCCCATTCTTCTAGTTTGTGAACTCAGTTTTAACTGAATGCAATTGATGTAGGAGATTAACTTTTGAAATAGAAATTTTGTTTTGGGTCATGAAGTATGTCAATTACTGTCTATTATAGGTAATGGGTTGTGGCAATTACTATTGTTTAAGGTAAGTGTTACTTACTGTTGCTTAAGAAAAGAGTTAATATAGTTCTTGTTTTTAATTTTTATGTATGAAATTGTGATTTTGGAAATGGAAAAACAGTCACAGAGAGGCTGTTCTCACTGTTCTCCAGAATCACTGGCCTTCTGACAAATGAAGTTTGGTGGACCTATTCCCATCTTTGCATATTGATTGACAGTGACAGTTGTCAGGACCCTCTTCATCTGGTAACATATGGATATGGACTAGAGGGAGCAAATAAAAGGGCAGGGTGAGAATTGCAATCAGGAAGAATAGGAAAGAGCAGAGGATCACATAAAGCCAAGTCATTCATAAGTGGGCTTTGTACTTTACTTTTTCACACTAACCTATGAGAGTCTTCTCTCCCCATCTCCAGACCATGAGTTTCATGAAGGATTAATTTTGTTGGTTATTCTGTCAGTACATAGGATAGTACCTACTCCATAAAACACATTCACTAAATATTGCTGAATGAATATATAAATTAATGAATGAAGTGAAAACTATTTTCTAGTAGAAGTGAGTCAGAATCCTATTTTAACTTGATTTTGAAGATTGGAGGCAGTATCTGGTCAAATCTATACTATTTAATTCAATGCTGTACTGAATAGAGTCTTGGGACCATGAAAGATATTTTATTTTCCTCCAAATTCCTAAGATACCCTCCCAGGTACCTGTGGTTCACTGGAGAGAAGGTAATTCAATTACCTAAGTGAGTGATAAATGTATGCTTTAATTGTGAATTAACATATTTCAGATTTTGGACTTTTTAGTGTCTTGTGGTCACTAAATCTCATAAGAATGATCTCAGCCTTCATGAGGTTGATCCTCTTGTTTGGATTCTGAAGCAGCACTTTCTACTTTTTGGAGAATTAATTGACCATCTCTTAATTCTGTCTGATATTCCATTATAGTCAAAATTTACATATTATAGATACTTACAGATGTTGAAATTCTTTCTGTGTAGTTATTTACTGTTCATATACTTTTTTTGTGAAGTGTCTGCTTACAACTTAGAATTTTGTTAATTAACCTGTTTATATTTTGATCAATAAATTATGGGGGATATTTATATATTCCGAATACAAATCCTTTGTCAGAATTATTTAATGTGAATGAATGACTTATGGCCCTCCTGTTCTATAGTTTATCTTTCCATTATCTTAGCATAATTTTAGAGAATGTTGCCATACGGGTCTCGCAGAAGAGCAATGTTACGGAGAATAAGCATGCTTATGTGTTTTAAATAAAGGTGACCATCTGCTTGCTCAGGCAAAATGGCGAGCTTCTTTATTTGTCCTTGGTTTATATAGGGAATTTTGTACATGTGCATAATACAGCAATGACCTCATTGATCCATTTAAACATCATGTGACTACCTCATGATTAGCTTCCAATAATCCACCCAACATACACCTTTTGATATAACCCTTTCAACATAACCCAATTTAACATAACTTAATGGAGAGCATGTTGTTAGCCATTACTTC